CCTTGCCTTGCCTTGCCTTGCCTTGCCTTGCCTTGCCTTCCCTTCCCTTCCCTTCCCTTCCCTTCCCCTCCCTTGCCTTCCTTCTAACATGCTTAGTGGCCCATTCAGCACGTCAGCATCACACCTATGTGCAGCACTGTGCTCTCCTGGGCTGAGTGGTCCTTTTGGCACTCCATTCCCTCACCTCAGCCCCATTAACCAGGTCACAGCAGTGTGAATGCTTAGTGCTTAGTTTCTGGCAGATTACCCTGGCTGGCTGTCAGCAATCATTTCTTCACCTTACGTAATTTTTCCCGAAACACAACACTCTTCCCCCAATAACTAGGTAATTCTGCAGCCACTTTTGCTGTGAGCCCACACCAAAGCACCAGAGGGGAGGTCCCAGTGGATAGAAGATTTGACAGCACAGTCTCTTTCACTCATCCAGTGATTCCTGGGACCCTGGGACAGAGACTTTATTCTGTCAACTCCTGTGGGGAGACAACAAACTTTGCTCTCAGACTGAGGCAAAAATCAGGCTCCGCAGTCTCAAGACAAGGATTGCAGCCTGCCTGCTGCCAGACATGCTACCCCAGTGTGCTAGCTGCCTCCCTCCAACCTTAGGAGTGGCCCTGAGCCACTGGGCCTGAGTGGCCAGTGCTAGGAAAGGCCTTCCGCTTGGCTTCTTGCTTAATCCCAGGCCTTTTTCTGCAACCCAAGACCCACTCAGCTATAAACCTGGTCCCTCTGGAAGCCACAGTTCCTCCACTGTATTCTGATACTCAATTGTTTTGAAAACATTTGTATAGTAGCACAGTGAGCCAGATAAAACCTCAAGAAGAATATGACTAACATTCTCAGGGCCTCAGGTATCCTACAGACATTACCTTTGCCTTCCTGTGCCAAGTGACCGGAGCCAACCTGGGAATAGAATAATTTGAGGTTATTATTGCACACAAGATTGTATTCTGAATAAGTGATCCCAGATAGGGCCTTCTATGTTCCTTCTCAGACCCTGTGAAAGAAGTGTGGAAGTGTGTTTTCCCTTATCTGTGGTGGTGCTCCCAAGGAAATCTTTCTCTCCACAGCCACATGTGAGGAATTAAAGAAGAAAATTAAACTAATAACAATGAATCAGGAATAGAAAATGGTAATGAGAGAGAGAGAGGGAAAAGGGGAGAGAGAGGGAGGAAGGGAGGAAGAGAGCTTTATGACTCCTAAAGTGGTATCTCATTTGAGTCTCAGATGAATCCTCATCAGTATCCTTGATGTACCAAAAAAACAAAGGTTCACAGACATGGCATGACCTTCTTGAGGTCACACATCAAATGGTTGGGCCATAAGTAGGACTCAAATCAACTAATTGCAAACTCGGTCTTCTCAAAATAGTAAGACTGACCAAAATATTCACAGTCCACTTCATCAGTGGACTGTGAACCTGAGAATCAGCAGGGTGTTCACCCTTGGTTGGGAAGTAGGGAGAAAAAGACAGGTGGATTTGCTTTTAAAGGCTTCTGGTCAACCTGGAGCAGGCTGGGCCCAGGGAGGAGATGAAGGACAAGCACATGGAGTCATCACTGTCCACGTGCCTTTTCTGTCTCTGCCTCCACTTCTAGACCTCTTATTCTTGGATTCCCCAGAGCCCCTCACAGATCCCTGGGACCTGAATACCTTAATTCACTATTCAGCCAAGGTGCTACACTTAGTGACAACTTCTAAGGAACATGTGCATTCTAAAAGAAGGCCTGGACAGACAGCAGCACTCACCACTGAGAAGTGAGTTCCCCATATTTGAACTTCAGCCTCTGTGAGAACAATTCATTTTGGGGCTGTGGCAAGAGGGCTGCTCCTTCTCCTTGAGGCTGAACCACGTGAATGGTTGATGGCAAATGGAGGCCAGACTGTATGATGAAGATTGTCTTTATCAGTCTGTACCCACCTGAGTTTGTACCTGGTACAGACCCCATCCCTACCTGTGGTTACTGCAGACGTTTAGAAATGAATCAGGTTAATAATCACAATAGAGCTCACCACTGCCATTGACTGAGAATTTGTTATGTGACCAGGGAGCTAACATCTTTGAATATGTTGTCTTGTGCATCCCCATCAGAAAATTAGGAAGCTGGTACTGTGTGACAGGTGAGAAATACTCATGTCAGAAACAAGCTGAGAGAGGTTAGGTAACCTGGTTAAGGTCACTTAATTAGCAAATAGCAGAACCATCTCCGAATTTCAAGCTTCTGACCAATATCAACCATGTCATTTCTAGGAATTTATGGACCCGAGGCTCTGAAGACATCAGACATAAAGTCTGAATAGCATAAAAGCCTTTTAGTGTTTTAGTACTAAATGTACCCTTTCATTTCTCTTTTTTTTCCAGTCCAAAACCCAGAGGTATACTAGAAATGGCTTGTATTGTAGTTGTTAAATTTTTAGGAATTTTGCAAGGTGATTAAGTACAGCCATTGTTAAAAATTTAATTATATAAATTTACAATTAAATAAATTATATTTAATGCAAAGGTAATAAATACTCAAAACTTATCACTTCCTAATTATTTTACTGCTCTTTATTTTCTGTGCTCCTGAGGTTATTTGCATCTATCAGGTCTGTAAGATGAACATGCTAAATACAGTGGTGTTCTGTAGTTCATCTTCCAACTCCACATTTAGTGACTTCACAGTGACAGTTTAAAATTAGTCGTTGTCGAAGAATTTACACTGTAGAAAATGCTCATGTAAATGCTGCCCATTAGCAAATGCTATAAGCTACCCCTACACACACACACACACACACACACACACACACACACACACACAATGCCACTTGGGAGATATTTACCACCATACCACTGCCTGGACCTTGCCCTACACAGACCAGGGAAGGAAGAGGGGACTTCAGAAAGAGGAGCAAGACCTTAGGGGCCTTGCTAACAGGGACAAAGATGGTGGTCAAAGAGCAAGTTAATGGAAAGCACAAAGCAACTTAAAAGAGATTCTGAGGCTTCTAAGCAACTTCAGGAGATTCCCTGCCAAAGAGCACCACCCTGTCCAGACCTCCTTTTTATTGCTTTTAGTGTGTGAAATTCTATCACTGGTTTTCTTGGACAACTGTGGCTCACAAAGCCAGCCTTCTGGCAATCCCAACCCCCAAAGCAAAACAAGGTTCTACAAAACTGGACTCTCATCTCATAGGTCCCACTCCTTACTTCCTTATGTGCAGGCCAAAACATAATCTAAAGAAATGTTTTATTTTGAAATTAGATCTTGTAAGCATTGAACATCTTACACATAGTAAGTGGTGATTTTAAGCATCACATAATATGTATTAGCACAGAAGTAGGACCCTGATATAACATGAAGTTGATGGAGAAAAAATAATGACTCAAAGTATGTCACATGGACAACAGAGCACCTTCCTTTCCTGCCTCCATTACTGTGATTGTGAATTGCAGTATGTCGATTTGATGAGAAAGAACCATCTAGCTGATTAGTAAAGCTCTGAGTGTGTCTGTAGAAAGCAGACACGTGGGGGCTGGGGATTTAGCTCAGTGGCACAGTGCCTGCCTGGCAAGCGGGAGGTCATGAGTTTGATTCCCAGTACCAGAAAAAAAAACAAAAAAAGAAAGCAGACACGTAGGCCACAAACTAAGGGGGGAAGACCCACCCCAGAAGTGGCACAAACTTGTAGCCTGGACAAAAATGGGAAAGAATGAGGATGCCTGCCCTTTTACTTTGAGGAGCTCCAATCTTGGCCATGGCGTTTGGATGTTTATCACCAGTGCTTCCTGGATTCCAGTTAGTTTCTTTGGCTCCCTGACACAGACTTGCACCAGACTGCAGTGAGCTCCAGACCTTTGACCTTCACCTTTGATCCTTCATCCCCCAAAGTGCAGATGGCCAGTTTGTATTTTACTGGGTCTAGTCTGGCAGACAGCCACTGAGACTCCTCTACTTCTGAACATACCTTCGTACAATCATACATATATTAAATCTGTTCCTCTAGTGAATCTTAACTAATTGTTTTTCTTCACTGTAACCCAACATAGACCCTGCAAGGTGTGGCTCCCACTCAGGCAAAATCACAGGGCACTGCAAGCTGTACCCAGGAGTGAGCAGATCTTGCACA